ATCCTAAAGATAAACTTAAATTTCATAAACGTGCAACCGTTACGTTAACTGCTTTATTATCAATAGTTTATCCTTGGATGACAGTACTTATAGTCTACTTTACACCCCCGGTTGGATATTTTTGTCGCAGCAAATATGTAACAGTAATCACCTCCATCTGGTCATTTAACAGTGCTTTGGCCTATTTTTGGCATATAAAAGGAGAAAGTGATTTAATCATGTCTGGGGAAGGGTGGTTACATGTTTGGTTTTCCACGTGTGGTTTTATAGTGGCATATCTCTTGTTATTTCTAGGCATCTTTACCGGGTATAATACATTGTGGGTTGATTTATTCGGGGATGCTTGTGATTTATCGAGCATAGGATGCTATTGAAACTTTTTTCCTTGGATTCAAATTAAAGGGTCGAAAAACTGAGGGAGAAAATTTTGCCGGAGCCCTGGGAATTTACAATCGGAATCTTAAGTAAATTTGTATATTTTGTATATTTATATCGCAGATTTATATATTTTGTATTATAATTATCTCTATTTATCTGCAATTTGTAAAATAAAAACTGTATACCTTCAATCTATCAAAAATATAATAAGCAACGTTGCATAATCATATGATTCACTTACCAAATTTTTGTGATCACCATTATTTTTTTTAACACTAGATAACAGTTCATGCCATATAGTTGTTGGTGTCAGGTGATTCCATTTTATGACCGTTCCCAAAAATAATAGTGGGAATAATAAATAAAAGAACAATGCATTAAATAAATAATTTTGGTCACCTGTTTTCGCCACCGATCAAAAATTCTTTCAGAAATTCGGTCTGATCTAACCTAAAACCGCTTAAGAAAAAAAAAAAATCAAATAAATGGATAAAATAAATAAAATTAGTAATCAGAACTAATTATCAAAATAAGAAAAGAAAAAATCAATAATCAAAAAAAAATTAGTCAGCTTACCTTTGTAACGAACCGGACGGGTTCCGTTTTAAAATTTTGGCTTAAGATAGGGAACCGATCTACCTAAAATAAAATCAATAAATCAAAAAAAAAAAAAGAATTTGTCAGCATACCATTTCGTTCGAAAAAAAAAATCGCCAAAAATTAGAAATAAAAAATTCGCAATTGCGATATAAAAAATAAAAAATAAAAAAATAAAAGAAAAAATATTAAAAAAAAAATAAAAAAAAAAGAAAGAACGAAACCGGAAAATCAAAATCAAAAAAAAATCACGATGATAAAAAATTAAGAATTAAAAAAATAATTAAAAATTAAAATCAAAATTAACATCAAAAATTTATTAAAAAACATCGCGCGCTATTATCAAACCAAATTAAAAATTAAATAAAATATTAGGGCCGGCCCCTGGCCGGCAATGACCATGAATCTAGTTGATAAAGATTAAAATAGTTAAATATATAGCATAAAGAATGTTAGATTATAATTTTATATTTTTAAGTATAAGAATAATTTTAAAGATTTAATTTTAAGCCACGTAAATGATACATTGTAAGTAGGTTATTCTTCAAATATAGTTAATATCATACCAGAGACGTTCTTAAATTTCAGAATTCAATTTTGCTTTATTTATTTGTTATTAACAACCTTACCCAATTTCACTAATTAATTATTTTGACTCGAATAAATATTTATTTTTTTACATATTTTTATGATAAGCTTAATAAAAGGATAGTTATCATGTCATATAAATGTTCAATTAATTCGGGTTAGAAAATATAATAGAAATAGTTTTAACGATATAAAATTTATATTAAAAAATAATATTTTTTAATATTTTTTCGAATTTGGTCACATATATTCAAGAGAAATACCGTAAAATATCCGTAATATGAATTTACTTTAATAGCAGCCCGCCGTATAAAGTAACTCATGTTTCTCGCTTTAATAAAAAATATTAATATTTTTATAGATAAATAGTTAAATAGTTCTAAAATTTGATACACGTTAAGACTCATTTTTCAAAATTTGAAATACTTCATAATCTTCTATTAAGAAGTAATTTTTTGTATCTCTTATCTCCTTCTCATAACCAGTTAGGTTACAATAATTACAACTATAACTTTTATCATCTGAAAACATAGGACTTAAACAAAGGTCATCACTAAAGGAGGGACCACGCCAATAGATATTATAAATTTCATGATCTATATTTTTCACCTTGCTTAAAATTGAAGCCTTAAAATTATCTTTATGCTTGAAGAGAATATAAAGCTATCTTTAGTATATTCTTTTAGTAGGCTATTGGATTTCTTCCATATTTAAGGATTTAAATCCTCAAAGAATTTCTTTCGTTCCTTTCACTTTAATGAATGTAACTGTATAAGGTTTATTATCACATAATTCATGAAATTTTTCAGGAGAAAATCCATCTTTGCTCCCTCTTAATAATAATTTAAATTTGTATGGAAAATACAATTCTCTTACATAATCAAATTTGCCTTTAATTTCCACCTTATCGATCCATCTTGAAATTATGGAGACTATATTTAAATTAACAAATTTTAGTATCATCAGTTTCTTTATTTCTAGGGAATAAATACTATCGCTTAGTACACTATTAGAATCCAAATAAGAATTTATTAAATTCTCATATAGTTGAGATTTTAAAAGCTTTTTATATGGTCGAACTTTTTGGGCGAACTCGTCAGAAGAGAAGCTAAAGAATCTAATTAAGGGTAAACAATGTCGCAAAGTATTTTCCATTATTTTGAAATACTCATCTGACCAAGTTATAGGATCTGGAATGAGTGGAGGATTTTTCGCAAGACCTCACATTATTAAATGTTCCCAAATATCAACTTCTTTCATTTGTAAATCGTCTCTTTTAATAAGTGAAATTAATGACTTTTCTGAAATCGAAGTAAAATCAATTGATTTGAATACTCTTTTAGAAATAATATCTGTACATATTTGTTGAAGTTCTGATAAAAAATTGGATTGGAAGCTTATTCAATATTCTCCAACTTCGATTGTAATATCATAATATTCGTCGTCTTCTAATATTTTTGACTTAATTTGGGAAAAATTTGTAAATACATAATCTTAAAATTTGGAGAAAAAAAAATATTTGCAAATCTTTTAAATATATTTGATCGGTAATGAGCTTGTCCTTATAAAGTTCGATCCGTAATAAAAAAAACAAAAATTTTGATTTTTCAAAGCATAATTACAATGGGGCTTGATAGTAATTTAAAGAATATATGAATTCATTTTCTAAGTATACAACGTTAATTTAAGCTTTTCAACTTTTAGAATTGTAAACTAAATTATTGACAGTTTAACATATCATAAATTTTTTTTCGTCGATTATTCACTGCGCAGTATGAACGATTTCTATAATTCTGAAAATTTATGTATCTGAATCTAATATTCATCATTTCCTCTAAGTGAACTTCGTGCAATGAGAAAAAGGAGAAAATTGATAAATAGAAGAGTGCCTTTTCTATTCATCATCTATAACCTTTGCGAATTACTATAAATTTCTATGTGAATAATCAGGATAAAAGGAATTCAACTATTCAAAGAATGAATTTGAAAATTTGATATTTCTTAAAACTGACATTATATATAACCAGAAATTTAGTTAGTTATTTTTTACACAAATCCGTACAAAGACGGTACATAAAAGCATATAAAAATTTTGTCGCATATTTTAGAAATGACATCGTACCCAAAAGTTTCCTAAATAAATGGTACGTTATTAGGAACTAATTTAGAACTTTTTATTCATAAGGAAAAAAACTAAAATTTAAATGAATTTGTCACAAGCAACTTCATTTAAAAATATTATGCGAGGATATTAAAAGATAAATGGGTATTGATAAATAGTTGGCTTAAAGTAAATATAAAATTTATTCTTGTGAAGTTTTAGTATTTATATATTAAAAATTTTTAATGACAAATATACAATAATTTTATGTTAAATAATATTATATTATTTTTAAATATTTTCTCAAACATAGAAATGATTTCTTTTCTTCCAGCGATCATTCACCCTAACTGATGACGAAAATCAAACTTCATTGTTAATTTAATATGAGAGGATAATGACCTTCCAAGTCAATGATTCATATAATCTTAGAGTGTAATTTCTTGCGAAGCTGCCATTAAGAATCAATAAATTTAGTTATATTTAAATTGTAGTGCATGATTTATTATTTGTTTTTGGAATTTTTTGTTCTTATTCAAATGATATAGAATATCATTTAATAGTGCAAAAAGAAAAATTCATACTAATATCAATAAAAACAATAATTTTACTTCATCGGTATTATGTATATAGAGGTAGAATTTTTCGTTACTTACTACACGGGTTTATAATAAGTATATAAATACTAATATTAATAAATTTATATTAAAGCAATGCATATTTATTATACAGTCGGAACTCGATATAACGAACCCTCCGTTCAGGTGATTTTGCATCGTTATATCAAGTATTCGGTAAGACAAATATTCTTGTTATGCCGAACTTACTATGTAAAATTTTTATAATTCGGTTTATCAATTTTTTTGCAATATATGCTTTATTTATTAACAGAAAATATACTATTATGCATTATATTATGTTTTTGATAAAATCCTATTCAAAAATTACAAATTTATCCAAATTTAATTGAAATACAGATTCAGATTTAAATTTTAAGACTTTTCTTCTAATTCCTTTTAAAATCTTTAATTCATCATTGATAACCTCATAATTTTCTAGTGGAAAATTTTGAAAAGTAATTAAATTTTCAACACTATTCAATGTATCACTTAAAGAAATATTAGAAACAAATTCATCTTTATCATTCTGTATTTTTTCTGTATTATGTCTTGATCGCACAGTTTCAATAATTTCATCATCATCTAATAAAATCTCATTTTCACTTAATTTATCAGTATTAATATATTTTAATACAGGTAAAGTATCATAATATGATAGCTTCTGCATAGTATCATTTAAATCATTTTCAACATTACTCCTATCAAAATTAATCTCCGCATTCACATCTAACCCATTATCTGATGGAATAATACCAGTCTTTAACCAGCAATTTTTAATTGTGATAGGATTAACCTGATTCTATGTCTCAACAATAAATTCAATAGCATTACGAATATTAATAGGAACAATAGACGTATTTAATTCTTATAAAATATCATACTCTTCAACTCTATTTTCTACCAATAATTTTCTGTATTTGGCCTTAATTTAATAAAAAAAAATTAATAAAAATACTAAAATATAATTTTAAATATAAATTTATTATACTTACTTTAAAAGAATTAATGATTCCTTGATCCAAAGGTTGTAAATATGGAGTTATATTAGATAGTAAATAATAAATCTCAATATTACTAAAAGAAGGCAATT